TTTCGTATAACGATCTTGGTGTTATCGTGAACAGCAGTCTAACTTGGTCCGACCATATTACCTCTATTTGTAAACGTGCAAACTCCAGACTGTATCTTATTCGAAGGTGTTTTTCAAGAGTTTCAATTCAATTATTTTGTAAACTTTACACCCTGTGCGTAAGAACCATACTTGAATACTCTGGACCAACGTGGCATCCTGATCTGGTTCGAGACAAGACTCTGTTGGAAAACGTTCAAAGAAAAGCCACTCGAATTTCTTTGGGACCGAGAAGACCGTCTTATGCAGAAAGACTTAGTATGGCTAACCTAACTACTTTTGTAGGAGGACATCAGTATAAACTAAAGAACGAAAACTTTGTCACAAGATCAAGACAGAACTTTCTTCCAAATATAATTTTTAAGTGCTGGAATAATCTTAACGATAACATTGTCTCCGTTCCCTCTACCAACTCGTTCAAAAACAGACTTGACCGTTTTATATTATAGTTAAAATATTGTTTTGCTTTTAAACCATAAAATGGTAATTTTATTTCTTTTGTTTGTAATTTTTGTTATTTTCTAGTAGGTGAATAATGAATTTTCTTTTTTTGGGGCATAATAGGGACTTAATAGGACCTAATAATAATAATAACATATCGTCCTCTTTTTTCATATTCTTCCAGCCTATGGTGTGCTTGTTAAGGTTTTGTAACATTATTGTCTTTGCAAATGCCAGTCACTAATTCTTCGTGAAATTGTGTTACATCCATTTTTTTATTCAAAGCTTTGTTGTATAAAATTAAAACATTTACTTCGGCTGTATGGCTGTACCTGTCAATAACTCTATTCCCAATAAAACACTGAAAACTTTATTTTCAAACTTCCACAAAATTTATTTTAACTATTATCACTACAGCTGTTTCGGCTGATTGCCTTTCTCAAGTGATCTATTTTTGGCATGCGTTTACAATTTATAGTCTCTAATGAAATAGGTTGAGGAGGGGAGAACTGTTTGTCTCAAGTTGGTCATTCAGAATTATATCTGTGTTTTTTAATTTGTTAATTTCCATAGATTCTAACAAAGATAGCTTAAGGCCTTTATTTTGAATGTGAACAATTTTTTATTTGTCATTAAAAGAATGATTATGATCTAGAAGGTGAAGTGCGTATGTCAAATCTGTTTTTCTATTATTGAAAGCCCTTTTATGTTCTGCTATTCGTTTATTAAAGTTTCTACCAGTTTGACCGATGTAAGTTTTTGGGCAGTCGCCACATTAAAGTTTGTACACACCACTATTTAAGTGTTTTTTATTTTGGCTCGTGTTATTTTTAATATATTTGCCTAGGTTGCCATTTGCTTCATTATATTTAATTCTGTCTCAAAGTTGTATTTTGACATCGGAATTTCTGTTAATCTACGTAACATACTATGATAAGCTGCCAGTTTATGTTGTGTTGGATGGGATGATGAATTATGTATAGTCGTGTCAGTATGTGTAGGTTTATGAAATAGGGAGAAGTCATGTTTGTTTTTAAGTCTGATAATTGTTGTATCTAAAAAATTTATGGATTGATTTTGTTATGTTTCTATTGTAAATTCAATATGACTATGAAGTGAATTAATATACGATAAAAATTGGTCGAGTTACCTGTAAGTTCCTGTGAAACATACCAGTATGTCGTCTACGTATCTCCACCAATATAGAAATTGTTTGAATACGGTATGTTTTGAAATTTTTTCTCTGGATGGTCCATAAAAATATCTGATAGTAATGAGCTTAGAGGTACTATCCATTATAGTCCAGAGGCTTTCCATTATAAGTCCTGCACTGTTATTTGTATATGTTTGATCATTAAATTCAAAGTAGTCCTGGTTTATGCAAACTTCAAGAAGATGTAAAATTTCAGATGTAATTACTGGATTTGTACTATTTTGGTCTAAAAGGTTTTTTACTAGAATAAAAGTTTCTGTAGGAGGGTACTAGGAAAAAGATTTTTTACGTTAAATGAAATTAATCTGGAATTGTTAGGTAATTAAAAATGTTGTATTTTATTAACTAGTTCTATTGTATTTTTTATGGTAAATTTGGGTGAAAATTTAGTGTGTTCTAAAATAATCTTTAACAGTTTTTTTGAAAGTTTATACGATGGAGCTGTATAAAAAGAAACTAAAGGTCTTATTGGGTGATCCGGTTTGTGTAGTATAATGAAAGAGTATAATTGAGGAGGCTGTGGGTTCATGATATTAAGGTATTTGTGTTCTATTCGATTTACTATTGATTTTGAATTTTGTAACGCTAGCATAATTTGTTTTTGATATTTTTCTGTCTGATCTTTGTGTAAAGTTTCAATATTTTGACTATTTAAGAAGTTTATTGTTTTGTTATTATATTCTATTTTATCTATAGAATCTTTATATATTATCTTTATATATTATACCTACAGATTCGACATACGCACTTTAAAATTCTTAAGCTATCTTTTATAAAGGTTTAAGGCTTAAGGCCTTTTATAAAGGCCTTAAGCTATCTTTCTTAGAATCTATGGAAATCGACAAATTAAAAAATACAGATATAATTCTGAATGACCAACTTGAGACAAACAGTTCTCCCCTTCTCAACCTATTTCATTAGAGACTATAAATTGTAAACGCATGCCAAAAATAGATAACTTGAGAAAGGCAATCAGTCAAAACAGTTGTAGTGATAATAGTTAAAATAAATTTTGTGGAAGTTTGAAAACAAAGTTTTCAGTGTTTTATTGTTACATAAAATAAATAAAGTAACGGTCGAATTCATCAACTCTATTCCCACTTTCCAATATCAATTTATAGAACGTCTGATGGGATTACTGTAGGAAGCTTTTTGATCAGGGATGTCAATGTAAGATTTAACAGAATATTCTACTATTGTAGATAGTTTTCTTTTTATTTCTGATTTTATATGACTGTCGACCATTTCTGGACAATATTTTGTAGTCAAAAATGTTACCTCTATTTTATCGTTATATCTCCTTTATTTAGCTTTGCTTCAAATACCGACTTTGGTTGTAGGATTGTATGTCCTATTTTTACGAAGTATGCCAATTAGATGAATGTTGTTTTTATTGAGTTTGTGTGTCAATCTGACACTAGTGTAAAAATTGTCCGTAACCAAAGTTCTTTCTGAGTGTAGAAAAGGTTGCAATAATTCCATGACCACTGGGGATGCTGGTGACTGTTCCTCTGATCTTTTTTGCTTTTCACCATAAATTTTACCGTGATATGTGTATCCGCCTTCTCCGCATAATTTAAGACAAACTTTTCCGCCATATTTATTACGTTTGCCAGGTATGTACTGTAAAAATGCAAGCGTATTTGACTGGTACCAAATCAGATTAAAAACTTTTATTAAACGCCTGCAACAATGGTTTAACTCTGAACAATCTACTTTCTATAGCACAAGCTTTATTATCACAAAAATGGAAGCAAGTAAGAAGAGCCCCAAATCTAAACCTCAACATGTTTTTCGTCTTATACATTAAGCAATGATGAATAAAATTATTGCTCCAGTAATCTCGTAGTCGTGGTTTTGTATTCAAACCCATCCATATTAAAATTTCCAAAAATTTTAATATTTCTTCTCTGTTAGTATCCATTATTTTAATTAGTGAGATATGAATTTGTCTTAACGTTTTTAAGATTTGTGGTATCAATAATTTTTTTTTGCAAATTGATTTGTTTTCTCTACTAAAATATCGAATATCTCGTCTGCTCAAAGCAGTCTATAAAATGTTGATTCAAGGTATCATTTTCCCTACTTTCTACAACTGTACCAAAAATTGTTTCATATAACATTTGCCTGTAAATTCTCTATATGAGGATTTACGATATCTTAATTATTTAGATCTTCAATTTCAGACTCACTTTTGCTTATTTGCAAATTCAACTATTCATCTTGAATTCTAGATTGACTAATAACATTATCATCCTAAAATATTTTAAAATTAGATACAACTATAAACTTACCTTAAGCATTTCCACTTTCTGCCGTTTTGTTTGTGGTTCACAATCTGAAGAGTATTCAGTAGTTATTGTTCGCTAAAAACATATGCTTAAGTTCGTGTAAAGAAAGGTAGCTCTTGTTATTTTTAGATATTGTACATAAATAAACCCGACTACAATAAAGGTCTAACAAGAGCTGGTATGCCACTCGATAGTTTTAAATCTCCAAATTTTATCTATAATGTTGCCAATTTTAGTATGCGAAGATTATTGAACTAACATTGAAAATTGGATTCCACACCCTAAAGGAATGATAATTCTCGTATAAAGACACTACAACTGCGTTAGGACCACATACATCGTCGCATGAATGCGTTGCAATTATCCTGCAATTATCTTGCAATCCTAATTGCAATTATCCCAAATGCCTTCGTGAAGGTCGTACTTGACCATGACCGAGAAAGACATGGAAAGATGAAGGTGGATAAGGATCTTGGCAGTCAGTCGTGGAGGAAAACAGCTATAGACCCTATTAAATAAAGAGGTTTACAGAAAAAGTAAACCTTTATTGAACCGGACCTTACAACTCCCATTAAAACACAGTGACTTGTGTATGCTAGAGCCCAACTCTAGGTGGGCTAAAAGCATAATATTAATGCTAGAGAACACGATCACTGAAAAGCTAATTATATAAACACCTATAGAAAGAAGAGGCAGAGCTTGACCTCGAATTAAGTAATTGGATGGTAACAAGTCAATAAACACCGTATAGATTGGCAACAAATATTAAAGAAAGCTATGATTCTTAAAGAATTGTGGAGCCAAAGATAAAAATGAAGTTACTTAATTGAAATTACTGAAGTTACTGAAGCTAGTTCAAATTAGCTAATGGTAATAACATAAAAAACATAATTTACAAATAGTCTTTAAACAGAGAATATATTATTTAACTTTATTGATTCTTCACTTCGCTTTTTAGAAGAGTTACCTTTTTTATTTTTATCACAATTCGTCACGGATTTTTTTTTTGATACACGTTAACAAAAATCAGGGCTTGAGTCTTCCAGTTCTGCATCACTATTATTACTATCGACAATCAGGGGTGCTATTGGACGAGTTCGAGTTTTATTATGGGTATGTTTATATGATTGATGATCGCCAACAATTTCATTATTATTCAAAGTGTTATCTATAAGGAAATTGAAGGACACGTCCCCGTTTGGATGATTGCAGCTTCCTACTGATTCACTCCTGCTTCCTGCAGACTTATTAAGTTTCATCCTTTTCCTAGGTTTAATTATTTCCTCTGTGTCTGATTTGCTAGGACTGCTATTGCTCTCATCTGATATACATATCACTGGCACAATTGGAGCCTGTGTGATAACTCTCTCTGCTCTAGGATTACTGGAAGGTTCTCTTTTTACAGAATTAAATCCTTGAAGCTGTAAAAATTCTGCAGCTTCTTTAAATCTCGTTTCATCGTCTATATAACACATAATATCTCCTTTATACATGTACTCCAATATATACCTCATAACTAACTTTGAAAACTGTCTTAAATTTAATGTTTTTCCAAAGCCCTAAAGTCGACAGCCCTGATCGCATGTAGACAAGAAAGAAAAAAGAATATACTGAGGATATAAATCACACATGTACTGAATACAGGAGTTTCAAGAATTTCAGTAATTATTCTTAACGCATAGACTTCATAGTAATTTGACTCGTCAAGTTTTTCGGCTAATATAGTCGTTGCAGCCGTTGTTCCATCTTGTAGAGGAACCCAAAAGTCTAAAATTATGTTTTCCATTAAAAATACGGCCACTAAAAACTCTACAGCTGTCTGACTTAGTTTATCCAGTTTTCTTAATGGTTTTGGATACAATCTTAGGTCGTAAAGACTCAAGCCCTGATTTTTGTTTACGTGTATCAAAAAAAAAAATCTGTGACGAATTGTGATAAGAGATTATATTAATTTCGAAAAATTTCACTTAGCTATAATCTAATCTGCCACTACTTGTAGCAGATTAGACTGGACGTAATGAAAAAGAGCTAATTTCTTCAAAGAGAAAATAATTAAAAAGTTTTAACTTACTAGATATACAAACTATAAACTTTTTTTTATTTCACACACCGAATTTTTGCTTTTTTATATACATAAAAATTTGTTTCGTTAATTTTTGAATAAATATTTTATAAATTATAATATTTAGTTTCTAAATGAATTTTAGTAACTTACCTATCAGATATTTCTACAAAATACACTTGTCCTTGTGGGACAAAGTATTTCTCGACATTGTCATCACATCATTCGGTACATTAGCTACAATTTGACGTCGCATTTTCCCAAAAATTACCGCCATACACCTTATCTCTCGTCACAAGCACAAGGGCAACGTGAAGGGTCCTTTTCAAAACTCCCTCATCACACTTTTCTACAGAATGTTCTCCAATAGAACAAGGAAAGACAAAGACAGCTGGAACAGGGATGTAATCTCTTTTGTTTTTACGGAGTTTGGAAAATAACTGTAATATAAGAATTTCACTAACTGTATATTATATAGATTATTTTATTTTCACAAAAATTCAATTATTTTGTTTGTTTTTTTTTAATTAAAAATATTTTTATATCAGGATCATTCTGAGTGGATAAAGCTTAAGAACTAGTCAAATATTTTAAATTGATGATTTTAAGGCTTTAAATCGCTGGATAAATAGATTTTGCAAAAGACACGATACAAAAATGTTTTGTGATGATTCCGCTAACGTGGACCAATTACGTGATACAAACTGGAAAATTAAAATGGCATCAATTTTATTTAGGACTGCAAAATTAAAATATTTTTATTGCTTACAAAACCTGACTTTGGTATTCGATAATGGTAAACAAAACGTTCCAAATATATGCAAAAAAATATCGTCTGAATAATGGATTACTTGTCAACGGGTGAAAAATAAAATCCAACAGTCATAAAAAAAGCAAAACTTAGCGATGTTTTAAACTAATTCATGTAAATAAATTTTCAGTAGCATTATATTTAATAAAGACAACTAAATTAATAATTTCTTGAAAGTCTATTTGTTTAAATAACAACATTAACAACTTTAAAAAACCGCATAAAATAAAAAACTCTTAGCACTAATAATAATAGCAAAATAAAGTACAAATTTTGTAAAAATTGTACAGATAGATTACCTGTTTTTTCCTGTCGGTCTTTAATTTTTTCACGAAGCAACTTCTTTCTTCTAGTAGTAGTTGTTTGGGAAAGTATGTACTATTTCTATTCATATTTTTACATCTAATATTTTTCTTTTAGTGTACTATAATGTGATCTAATTCAATGCTGTATTCTAACGACTTTCTTAAAATATATTGCTTCCTGTTATTTTGTAAAATTGTTAAACTGGCTATCTCATTTATTATGTTTTCAGTACGGAGAATTTGGCTTTCTCCTTTGTATTTTTTGTCACAAATATAGAAACAACTGTAAAGTTTCATATTACCGTGACGATTAACTTAAATTATCGCCACTCAAAATCGAATACAAGACAGCTAACGAAACGCATCCAGTTTGACCGGTTTTTGTCCTATTGAGCCTCGGTGCCGGGCGTCACGATGGTCAACGTTGCACATGGGCTCCGAATACATCAAAATATAAAAAGGGTAAGTCTATGTTCTTTATGCAGACAACAATAATATGTAAGACCAGTTAATTTCGTAATTTCTTTACAGTTGTATTTGCTATTTTTCGCTAATTTATTTACAAACAAAATATTGCATTATTTCTCCATTATTATCTATCTAATATCATTTAATCAGCGACCTCCTAAGTTTTATATAAAACATATGGTCCTTCGAGCCGGATGATAAATAATTATAACTTTGATTCAATTAATTTCATTATATTTCGATTAATTAATTTTAATTAATTGTTTTTTTTTTGTTTCTTCTCAATTTAAGTTTGATTCGGTCTTTCGCGCATTATTTTTAAATTTAATTTACATAACTAAATTGGATTATATTTACATAGCAATTTTTAAATTTATTTCTATTTTTATAATTCATAATTTCAATTGGTAAAATACTTTTATATATATTTTGGGTGATATCATACATTAATTATACATGTATATTACATTACATTTATGATTTATTGCTTTACATTTCTGTACGTCTTCTTTACATACTTTCCAACTCAATCTGTACGTCTTGCATGTTAACTTAAACACATTTCTTTTGATGATCTTTGTTACTGTACCTATCGTTATCTTTTTTAACATTATTCTCACTTGTTTGCAGTTGATTTTGTTTAAAACCATTCGCTTCTTTAAATCTAGATATTCTCTTCGTGTTGATTTGTTAATTTATCTTTGCATTGTCTTCTCTTTCGTGTTTGTATCTTACGATGCTCAACAAAATGAACAAATTCAACTTTTCGTGCCATAATCGGCATTCTCTAGACTCAAAATCACGCATTTTTGTAATCAGATCTTATAGACATACTAATAGGTGTTGAATTGGTACTTCGTTTCGTAAATTCTGGTAAAAATTCTTGGCGAACCAAATCATCCTCTGGCCTTAGAGATCATTTTTAATTATGTTCTATAAGGGCAAGTCTCTACGACTCATTGTAATATAATATTCACATCTTTCGTTACTTCTATGTATACAAACATAGATCTTTTTTATAAAGGTTTTGAGAAGTCTAAAATAGTAGGCACCTGTTAAATTTGTTCTAACATGACCAAGCTCGTGAAGGATATTTCTAAGTTGTTGATTTTCTAAAAGTTAACAAACCGATTTATTTTCTGTTATTCCACCGTTTTTACAAGCTAGTCCTCTTTATTTATCTTTTCTGTCTCGTCTATATTCGCTACTTATTCGTTATTCTTATGCATATCTTCATTTTGTATTCTAGAGAATCGCTTCAGGAAACTTCCGAATCTCAAAAAGACACATGTTGCATTCACGTTGCATTAATTCTCAAAATATGATGCAGGTTCCTGAATCCGATTTTAAATCGATTATTTCTTATAAATCTCATAAAGTTTTCAAAAAACAACTTTTTATTTCGCTTTTTTATCCAAAATTCGTACGAGCTTCGACGCTAATCTATATGACGTTCGAGGTGTGTCGCTAATCGATGCTCTTGATACTGGTTCAAAAAGGGCACCTAGTTTTTTACGTAATTTTCGATATTTTGTTGTTGTTTTATTTGCGATAGAAATTAAACGTATCGACAAATTAAAGTAAATAAGGAATTTTGGAACTATAAAAAGGATTCTCTGGAGATCGGACTTTTTTTTAAACCTCTCCAAGAGTTTTTACTACGTATCGTTACTTACGGTACTTCTTCGTTTTATTTCGCTTAAAAACTCTACAAGAGTAAGGCTTAGTTTTTAATGCTCGATGGTTTGCCGCTATTCAATAGGCCAGCAACCATCTAGACGGACTTACGTCAGAATCACGTTACAAGTGATTCCCTTTGATCTACTTACCTTCTGCAGTGAGAACTCGCTTAGCTTTAAAAGCACGATGGTTTTTCGCTAGGCAATGGGCCAGCACCATCTCGATGGACTTACGTCATAATCACGTTAAAAGTGATTCTCTTTGATACTACTCACCTTCTGCAGTGAGCACTTGCTTAGCTTTTAAAGCTCGATGCTTTTTCGCTAGAGAAATCGTCAGTAACCATCTTCATTTATTTTCAAGGCTTTGGCTTAGACATTTTGACATATTGTTCGTTGACAAAGAGGAACTTTTCATTTTTACGGTACTGGGCCTAAAATGGAATCCTACTACTGATTTCTTTTCTCATTATTCTTGTCCCTTTTGCAAAACCTCTACAAAGCGGGATATTCGTTCGTAAATCAGTCGTATTTTTGTTTCTGCCCTCTTGTTTTTATTCCTTTTCCATGTCTTTTTGCTAGTCAAACGTCTTCTACAACCGTTGTGGTAGTTCAGTGTATCCTGAGATGATGAAACATCTGAACAGATACATCTGACCCCTGTACTTGTATGTGTTACATTTCTAGTATTATTTCTATACAAGAACATCTATCGCAGGATCGAGATTTTTGACAGCTATGCTGCTGACTGATCTAGTCACTTTTGTCATCGAGTCTAGTCCAATTTTCATGCTAGCTTTGTCTCGACAAGATTGTAACTCTTGACAGCCATATTACTGGCTGATCTAGTAACCTTTGTCAAAGGGTTCTCCTTCCGATCTTCCGATATTTGATTTGATTCGATGATTGTGCTCCCTTGAGCTAATTTTTCTACCCACAAATTGTCAATCGTATTAAATACATACAAGAACTGATACCACACTCTACTCGGTAATATACGCCTTCTAATGAACACCTCTCTGATTGTGATTTTCCTACCGTGGAACTCGCCGAAATGTCATTACTTCCCGGCTGTCATTAAAGACTTTCTTCTATATGGGCACTCTTTTCTGTAGTGTTTGTTGCTTCTATATAAAATCTCTGCTTATGA